CCAGCTATACATATATATATATATATATATATATATATATATATAAACCACACACACACACAAAACAGAAACAAGAAAACCCACAGAAAGCTTCTCATGTTTTTCTTGTAAACTGTGCTCCTATTAAAAGTGTGCGCGCATGCACGCAAGCACGCGTAACAAGAAAACTGATACAAAGCTTTAATACTTAATAGGATACTTCAAAATAGATCACCTTTGTATAAACTTCAGAAATGGCAGTCTTCTCTTGAAAAGTTTGCATTGCCAATCTTTCGGCATTCGTTGCCTCCTCTCGAACAGATCTCTTGTCCTCTAAAGCTCTCTTTACGAAGTAAATATATCCATTTGTAGACAATAAACAAATATAAAAATTGCAAAGTAAATGACATATAAGAAACTCTAATGAGGAAGAGTACATAAAATGAACGCCTGTGAACATCCCTGAAAGAGATTAAAAATACAGCATCTGCTTTCGAAGTGACTATTGTTCACATCCTCTAATGCACCAGATAGTATTTTGCCAAATCAGTACTCATTTTAAATAATGAATTGTCTTAGAAAACTGAAAGAAAAATTACCTGTAGTTTCTCTGGTGATTGAACAATTTTTGAACGTAAGTTCGCATTTTCTTGGACACTTTGTACCAGAGCAAATTCAGCATTAGATATCTAGAAAAACAGAATGGAAAGAAATGGGAAGATAATTCAAAAATAAGTTACTTGATGACTTGTTAGAATATAATCCAATCTTCTTGATAACTTGAAGGTTGAAACAATATAATTCGACTAATTAAGGTACAGCTTAATCATGTTAAACTACAATCTGAGCAGACAAAGGAGAACCCAGACTCTACATAAATAAGGAATGAAAGAATAAACCATCTGAGAGAGAGAGAGACATGGACATCCTAGCAGCCATAAAAAGATCATGCAACATACTAGTGGTTCAGAAATGATTATTAATAATTACTAAACTAGACAACCAATCAACACCATATCATGAAAAGACACAAACTACAGCTCATCAGCTTCACCTATAACAGATTGAACAAGTTTCCAAATCCCAACCAGGATAATATACTTGTTGTTATTGTCTCTATTCCCAAAGCAACACAAATATCAAATGGCCTAGCAGTCAACAATCTGACCTTCTCATCCATTTCTCCATTTTTTTCCTTCAACTTCCGTAAAGTGTTTCTCAATGATGCCTGGTGATTGTTGAGGTTTGCAATGGTTTGATGCAATTCTTTAACCTTCACATCTACCTCTTGAACAAGAGGTAACTCCCATTCTCTCGCTTCAATATGGTTTGCAATCACTGCATTCAACTGTCGTGAAAGAAATTAGAAAACAAAATTTAGAGAATTAAAATTTCTCTCTCTAAAAGATACCTCAGAAATCTTGAACTCCCACTTTTTACGTTGCTCCTCAATAAGAGTCAATTCATTGACCATTGGGGATAGGAGTTCCATTTTTGTAGATCTAGTAAAGAAAGAACAACCGAAATATTTGATAAGCATAGGCATAACAGTGACAAAACAAAGTAAAAAAAAAACAAACAAACAAACAAATTGTATTTCTTTTATGAAACTCTTCTTTGAAGTTTCAGCTTAAAGTCGGGATAGCAATCAACGGCTGTTTCTTTCGCAGTATTTCCAGGCAGTCAACTGTCGTGAAGATACTTAAAACCACAATAAAATATTTAATTGCCAGAGAATGAGTAAATTGTAGGTTCACTTCTGTTCTCAAGAAATAAACTAACTATAACACCATTTACCACAATAAGAATTTTAAGAGAAAAATGAGAAACCCTTGGAATTGCTTGATTCAAACAAGTTATCCATTCCGTGATATCCAAATGCAATAGGAATTAGAACCCTTCAACAAGGTATTGTACAAAACTTACTTGTGAAGACAAAAGTTGAGAAGTGCACTAAGAAAGAATTCAGTACGATCAATATCTGGTTTTATCACATCTTTGAGGGTAAATCTCTTGGGGCATTCCAATGAAGCCACCACTTCCTTTATCCTGTTATACAACTTCAAAATCCTGACCGAGTCCATGTGAAGTTCCGGGTTTTCAAACTGCGCCAGAGCATCAAACTCGACCTGCCCATGATCCTCCCTGCACAAATAAGAACCCCGAAAAGGGACCCAATAGCAGATAATATCCAAATTAAGTCAAATGAAAATTTGGAGTTTACCCTTCATTCAGTTAGTCATGTATCTAGAACAACAATTGGGACGGCTGAAGAAACTTCAATATTCTCTCTTTAGCATATCGTCTCACTAACCAACTCTTAACCGTTAATGACAATGCTGAAAAGACTTGCTTCTAGATATCAAGTTTGCATCAGATTAATTTTGTTCGGACTAAATTCTATTGCAAAAGTACAAAACTTTCCATATTTTATTATTGAGAATCAGGACAAATGCAACACGAGTGTACATTAACGAAGACAAAACCGAACCCATAAAAATTCATGTTTTTCCGTTGCACAAAAACCATCCAAAGCAGAAACAAACTGAAAATTCATGTGAAAACAAGAAACAAATTTGCAATTCTCTGGGGAAGCAAAAGGAAAGTTAGGGTTAGGGAGAGGAAAATACTCGTGAAGGAAGTCGAGGTAGATCAAGATCCGGGTGTAGAGCTCCGAGACGAACTCGTGGGTGGGTTTGAGGAGGTCGCGCTCGGAAATGGAGACGATCTCATAATCGGCAAGTACATTCACAATCTCGGTGCGAGACAGCCTCGGGTACTCGAATTTCGACATTCTTCAACCTTTCCCCTGGTAGTACGAACTTCCTTTCTCGGTTCTGCGGGCTTCAATCGTTAATGGCGATTTCTCTAGGGACTCGAACAACGGAAAAAATCGCTTTCTGGGGTTTTGAGATTTGAAAATTTGAAGGCATATGAAAGAGAGAAGGAGAGAGAAGAGTAAAATGAAAACTGTAAAATGAGGGAAAACGAGGTTTAGTAAGAAAGCCCATGCCGGACCACTTGGCGCCTAAACATGTATAATTTTTGGCTAGCGACTATAAACGAGAAAATTTGATAAAAAAGACCAAAGCAAAACAGCAATTGAGAAAGTAGACTATTTTTTTTATAACAAAAAAAACCTTGACGTGTATCTTATGTGTCAAAAAATGGGTCATATTCAGTTCATTTGTATGGGTCATTTCAAAAAAACTCTCCCTCACAAACTGAACTCTCCCTCACGACCGATCGACTTCCTCGACCCTCTCGTCAGTTTTTCTCTCCGATCTCTCACCGACCCTCACCACCAAGTTTCAATCGCCGGTTTTTCTCTCCGATCTGTCACCAACCCTTACGACCGACCCTCACCACCGAGTTTCTCTCACCGGTTTCTCTCTTGCCGACGTTCTCTCATCGGCCGATCCTCTCTCTCCGATCTCTCTCGCCGACTCTCTCGTCGGCCGACCCTCACTCGCCGACATTCTCCCGCTGACAAAACCGACCCTCTCTTGCCAACGAAACCGACCCTCTCTCGCCGACGACCGACCACCTCTCACCAAAAACCGACCCCCGCTTCACCAAAAACCGACCATCCTTCTCACCCGACCACCTTTCTCACCAAAAACCGACCCCCCTTCACCAAAAACCGACATCCTTCTCACCCCGACCACCCTTCTCACAAAAAACTGACCCCTTCTTCACCAAAACCCGACCACCTTCTCACTAAAAACTGACCACCCTCCCTCACCAAAAACCGACTAAAAACCGGCGACTTCCACGACGGAAATGACATCACAAAACTGCTCTTCTTCCTCAACTAAAACGGCCATTTCTTGAACACTTGTCGACGAGGCAACGGAATCTGCTCAGGTAACATTAAGGTTTTATTCTCTAATTTAAAATTAAAGTTTTATTCTTGTTTTACTTTTTTTATACATTTTTGCAAGAACAAAAACTTATATTAAGAAAACAAGAATTGCATACATTAGTGTGTGGTCTGTTCATAGTCGGAACCACCAGACCTGTCTCATTTGAGAACTTTTAGTTGTGCTACCTATGCACACCAAAAGGAAGGCAAACTAGATCCTATATCCATTAAATGTGTTTTCTTAGGGTATCCTGAGGGCACAAAGGGATATAGGTTATGGGTTAGAGATGGCAGAGGTTTTAAGACTATAAACAGTAGGGATGTCATTTTCAATGAGTCTATTTTCCCTTGCCTTTCTAACAGAAATACTACTGCAAGAAAGAGTATTTCTGTCACTAACCCTGCAGGTACAATAGAGACACAAGTTCAGGTGGAGCAACAGAATGGCAGTCGGTCTCAGGTGGAGCACTAGAATGTTAATAGCCTCAAGGGGAGCAAAATTTTCAGCAATTAACTGAAGATTCACCCAGTTCAGAATTAGAAGTTGACTTACAAGATGTTCAAGAAGAAGAGACAATTGCAAACATCACCACAAGTGATTACCAACTAGTGAGGGATAGGTCAAGAAGGCAAATTAAACCTACTCAGAGATATGAGTTCTTTGCTTACACAAACTTGCTTGCATATGCCTTCACGACAGCTATAGATCTCGATAGAAAAGAGCCGGTAACGTATAAAGAAGCTATTGAGGGACCGAAATCAAAGCTATGGATCACTGCAATGAAAGAATAGATGAATTCTCTATACAATAATGAAACTTGAGTAATGGTTCATAGGCCTAAGGATCAATATGTTGTTGCATGCAAGTGGATTTATAAACTAAAGGAAGGACCATCAGATGCTTAACAAATTAAATACAAGGCAAGATTAGTTGCCAAAGGTTTTACATAGAAGGAGGGAATAGATTTTACCGAAGTGTTCTCTCCTATGGTCAAATACAAGACCATTAGAATCATACTCTCTATGGTAGCTCAATTTGATTTAGAGTTGGACCAGATGGATGTTAAAACCGCATTCTTGCACTGAGAGCTTAAGGAAAAGATCTTCATGGAACAACCACAGGGGTTTGAAGTTCAAAGAAATAAGGATATGGTATGCCTATTGAAGAAATTATTGTATGGGCTTAAACAGTCACCCAGACAAATATATAAAAGATTTGATACCTACATGACAAAGCAAGATTTTGAGAAGAGTTGGTATGATGCTTGTCTATATTTCAAAGGGTCAGGCATCTCTAAAGCTGAATATCTACTGCTATATGTAGATGATATGCTACTAATAAGTAAAGACAAGGAAAAGGTAATGAAAATGAAGAAAATGCTCAAGTCATAATTTGACATGAAAGACTTGAGGCCAGCAGGGAAGATTCTTGGAATGAAGATTAACTGAGATAGAAAGAAGTCTACTATATTCCTTAGTCAGAAGAATTATATGGAGAAAATGGTGGATAAATTTGCCATGCAGGTGCTAAACCAACATCATAGCCTATCACTAGTCAGTTTTAGTTGTCTACACTTCAGAGTTCTAAAGATGATGAAGAGAAGGCCTACATGGAGAAAGTACCATATGCAAATGTAATCGGATTAGTCATGTATTCTATGGTATGTACTAGATCTGATCTAGCATTTGCAATCAGTACACTAAGTAGGTAGATGTCTAATCCAGGGAAAGCCATGAAATGGGTTTTAAGGTACATTGGTGGAACTGTTGGATATGGTTTATACTACAGAAGGCACGGTAGCAAGGTGATAGTAGAAGGATTCGTTGATTCAGATTATGCTGGGGATAAAGACACCAGAAGGTTTACTACTTCTTATTTCTTTATGGTTTGCGGAAATTGTATCAGCTGGAAAACACAGTTACAACTAGTAGTTGCACTTTCTACAACTGAGGCTGAATATATGGCAGCTACAGACGCAATCAAATAAGGGATATGGCTACAGGGACTGCTTAGAGAACTAAAATTGACTGATGAAAATGCAATCATCTACTCATACAGTCAAAGTGCTATTCATTTATGCAAGAATCCTGTATTTCATGACAGAACAAAACATATTAAAGTGAAGTATCATTTTATTAGGGACAAGGTTTCTCAGGGAATGATAAATGTTGAAAAGGTTCCTACATAAGAGAATCCTGCAGACATGGGAACAAAGGTTGTTTCACTAAGCAAGTTTAAGCATTGTCTTAAATTGCTTGGTATAGGCAATGGGTGATTGAAGAGCTAATCGAGCCAGGATCCAGAGGAATAATAAAAGAAGAGCACTACCCGGTCATATATAGAATTGAGGTGGAGATTGTTGAATCAATTCTAATATGACTTAGTATGTCAAAGTTTAACAAAGTTGAATTTGAAGAACACAAAAACGACAAGTTGTTTTTGACTGAATAATAAGCACTTATTAGAGAAGATGTTTTTGAAGCTGACGTGGACTAGAGCAGCACAAGTGGAAGCATTTGATTGGACCGACTTACGTGGTCTCCAGATAAGAGAAACATAATTCTATTTTCTTTGTAATATTCTTTGAGCTTCTATTTTCTTCTTCTTCGAATAGAATTCCAGAGAGAGAAAAACTTGTACAAAAAAACCCTATAGAGAAAGAGACAGTATAGAGTGAGAAGGGTGAGAGAAAAGGTGAATTTTCTTGCTCAGTTTCTCAGGAAAGTGTTAGGGTGTGAGTTGTTGGAAGTTTGTAACTCTCTTGTAAACATCTTTGTTCAGATAGTGCATATCGAATTTCCTCTGGGGAGTTCGTGGAAATGTAGGTGTGATTTCATCGAACTCCGAAATCAAATCGTTGTGTTCTTGCAGTTTTCTTTTCTTTTTTGATTCGGAAATATCGAAGTCGGTGTTGGTTTAATTTCCAACACTAATATAACAATAAGTCATGTTTTATGTTTATTAAATCTGTATAAAATCACGTAAAAATTAAAAAGTAAGCAAATCTTACGGTTAAAAAAATATAACCTATTGGACACCAGGCGCATCAGAAAATTTCCCACTTTGTTTCGTCTTTTACAAGTTTTTACAAAAATGTTATTTTGACAACTTATTCTAAATTTAAAAATACATGAAAATTGTAATTCAATCGACAATAGATGTTAATTAATAGATAGCAATCAATATCTTAAACATGACAGTTTAAAGTTTAGGAAGTTTTTCTAGCTGTTCGCTCTACTAACAGTTTCAGTTTTTAACTATTGGATTTAGTTAAAATCATATCAGATTGAAAATGTACGTAGAACATACAGATTTCGATATAAATCTAACGATTACAAAAGTAAGAGACTATTAATAATCTATTTATACATGAACTACCAAAGGAAGTCCCTAAAATTTAATATGCAAACTAACGAAAAATTCATGATGATGCAAAAGTCATGAATATCCGTTTTTTCTTCCAAAAAAAAAAAAAAAAAAAAAAGTCACGGATATCCATAGACTATTTTTTTTTAAAGCGAAACTTTCATTAATTAACTATCAACAAAATCGACAACTATAGTGGTTATCATGGTTAGGCCTGGCAATTCGTGTTCGCGGGCCGTGTTCGGGCCGACACGATGACAGTGAGCACGAACACGACACGATTAATAAACGTGTCAAAAATTCAAACACGAACACGAACCGTTAATAACACGATTAACACGACACGACACGCGAACACGATTATTAAACGTGCCGTGACGGGCCAACACGAATAAAACACGTTTATGACCCGTCAAACTAATATTGTTCAAGAAATTTTAAAACAGTACAATTGGTAGGGAAAAAAACGAAAATTGAAAATAATGTTTCATGAAAATATATTTAAATGTAAGTTCCATTATCATCACCTTCTTTTACATCTCTCAAGTGATACCAATACAAAATGTATGCAAGTAACACAAATCTTAACCCCAAGTCCAACTACAAGAATTCAGTTGCATTACTACTTGCACAAACTGTTCCATTATCATCACCTTCTTTTACATCTCCCAAGTGAGACCAATACAAAATGTATGCAAGTA